TTTCATCAAGAAGAGATGAGTGTAGGACCCATGCTGGACGCAGGACAGAGAGGGCAGTAACCCTAGAGAGGCCATTAGAGATGGCGAGTAAGGGTAGTAGCAATATACCGTGGCCTCACAGGCAGTAGAACCAGGACCCAGACAGCTAGCACCATGAGTGAAAGAACCGAGTAGCTTTGAGCAGGAGGCTTTCAGCAGAGATGAGGTGCTTTGTAACACTCACCTAGCAGGGCTCAGGCCTGGCTGGCCCAGTGGACCAAGGGCCCATGAAAGGCATGCTTGTGGGCATGGCTGACAAGAAGCATTCCAGACTGGAAGAACTGTATTGAGTCTATTCTGAATTGTAACCTGTTACTTCCCCAATTAACTCCAGTGAACTTTGGGTATGGTCTTGGAGTTCTGCAGAATGTGTTCTGAGTTGTGCAACAATCAGAGCAGAGTGCAGTGGGAGGCACTGTTGGTGTTAGAACTGATACAACGGTTGAAGAGTGGAGGTAAGTCTGACCTTGCCTCACAGGAATCAACCTTGGACTAATGTTGCTGGATGATTCTCACTGCCTCATGAAGTCGGGAGGTCAGATGCTCTGAGTGCCATACCAAATTTATAATGACCCAGTGGTCGTAGACACAAATGAAGCATTGGGCAAAAAAGCGAACCTCTCAGTGCTGTCTGTTCAACTCTTTTGTACAAACATCTTATACTCCAGTACATCCAGATTCATAGACATACAAATACTGCATAAAGCGATGTATGTGCAGCAGTCATAATCACTGATAGGAGCTATCAGCTTTCCCAGGGCTTTCAGGATCCAGATCAGTCTTTCCCAAAGTAGGTGATAGTGCCCCCTAGTGGGCACTGGAATGACTGGGGCAGGGAGGGGGTACTGGATTATGGTCAGGGTGTCATGGAGTAATTTTTTTTCCTGAAAATGGGATGGTAGGCCAAATAAGTCTGGGAACCTATGATTTAGATCCTTGGATGCCTAAGACAAAAGATGACAATGGAGAAGGTGCAAAGTTCCACTGGTTACTTCCTCTTTCTAAAAGTCTGGTGCAGCAAAAGCAGAAGCTGCATTTGCATGTCAAAGAGGGACCTTCAAAACAGCTGAGGCAGATGGGGAGAAGGAACAAGTTGACTCTTTTATCAGATGGTCTCTAGGGTGATTTCAGAAGGGCTGGCAGTCACTTCTCCAGGAATAGTCCTCTCGCTCCAGCTCAATGATGAATTGTGGATCAGGACCGGAACTCTTCTCCCTGTAAGGAGTTCTGAGGCCACTCTCCTGGGTCATGGGTTCTCTCCCTGGATAGTATAATGTCTCACAAAGTAGAACTTATAGATTATTACTATGAGAGGTCTCAGTTTACCCAAGGACGAGAGCTAGTTAAGGAAGCAGAGTCCCAGATGAAATCCATACATGTTGTTAGAGCTAGAGGAAGGTAGTCTACCTCTCCAAACCTCAATTTCCTTTCATGGACAAAGGGGTCAACCACAGAGGCAAGAGGTTACCAAATGCAGGATGTAAGCTGTTGATCAAATGCAGGATGTGAATTTTGGTTCAAGATAGAAGCTTGCGAGGGGACCTAGTAGGAAAGATCCAACTAAAAGCTCCAATCCTGCTATCTGACACGCTGAGCACCCAGCAATTTAAAGCATACACATGCATAGATCAACAAAAAATGTAATCATGAATGCCCTAGTTTGAAAGTCCTCAGTTGTGATTTACTTACCTATATGGACAAGACATTTTATTTAAAGTAAAAAGAATAATGAAAAATAAGATTCAAATCTCAATGCATTAAATAGCACTTTTCTGATAAAATAATGTGAAAGATTAACTTTACCTCCTCTCACAAATCCATTAGTAGCTATTGCTGAAGTAGATAATCCTGTGATAGTTGTCACAACAGTGGCCATCATTATTACAAGAACCGATAGACCTTTCGGGAGAGAGGGAGAAAAGATTTTAAGGACACATACTGGTATTTAAAACTGCCATATCTAGAATTGGTCTGTCCAAGTGTACTTTTTACTTTACAACTTATAAATTATTTTATTTTGATCCTGTTCTCTAAAAATCAAATCAGAATTGTGAAGCAGTACTTAATCTCACTTACCAATTCCAGCTTGACCCACAATCCATGACAATCTAATAAAGAGCATCACACCCCAAATATTTAACATGCATCGCACCTAGAAGGGAAAACACGAGGCTAAGTCACATACGAAGAAAAGCGTTCAAACACAATACAGTGGTAAATGCTGGCCAAAAATAGGACAGGTATTTGAAATTACAAAAGTACTTTAAATCTAACTCCCAAACCACCATTAAAGTTTTAAAGAGCTCTGTGTGAGCTTTTAAATGTGCTCTTATGAGTATAATTCACATATACACATGGTATATACTCGAGTATAAGCCAACCCGAATATCAGCCGAGGCATCTAATTTTACCACAAAAACTGCATTAAAAATGTGCTGAAAAACTCAGCTTATACACAAGTATATATGGTATATAAGTGTAGACATACACACACACGCTAACTATCCATCATCCAATCATCCATCACCCATACCCAAGTATATGAAAAGGCACAAAGAAAAGGTTACAAGTATCTTACAACAGAACAAGAAAAATATAAGAAATATTTTAATACGTCAACTGTAAAATAAAGTGGCTCCTGCTCCCATTTATCAATTTAAATAAGGTTTTTATTCCTTTATAACATCCTCATTCTATGTAATTTCTACAAGTTTAGGTTTATAATTACATCGTCAATGTAAAATTCTACCTATTTATATATATGTATATTTTTTTTAATTAAGCTACTTGTGAGACAAATTTCCAAATTTATTTTAACTTTTATTTATAGTGATCATACATAAAACATAGTCTTCTATAATACTTTTAATCTAATAGATCTGCCTGGGACTTTTCACCCTAATACATTAGGCAATAAATTATTAACAGAAGTGAGAGTATCCTTCATGCTTCCACCCTAAAAGGTAATACCAAACTCAAATATTTCCCAAAAGAGGTCAATGTAGCCTAATTAGTTCAGTAGGAGCCGTGATGGTACAATGGTTACACAGTGGGCTGCTAAGTACACGATCAGAAGTTCAAAACCACCGGCAGCTTTGAGGGAGAAAGACAGGACTTTCTACTCTTGCAACGGTCCCAGTCTCAGAAACTCACAGGGGCAGTTCGAACCTAACCTATAAAGGCTGCTATGAGCCAGCCTCAATTCAATGGTTTGGCTCAGGAATCAGTTTAGTGCCTATCTAAACACACAGGCGCAGTAAATCTGCATCTTAATCATTTAAATCTATCTACTGCAGTGAGGTATCCTTAACACTTAAGGCGGGTAAAAAACAAACAAAACCTCCTTCATTCTATTACCTATTAATCTCCAGACATTTTTTTCCTAATGACCATGGGCAGGTATATTTCACTTCTTTGCTCTGCTCAGCTTGTTTGATTTATGTGATCCTATCAATTCAATAAATATATTCATACTTAATGTCTGTAAATATGACACCTAACTGTAACATTTATATAGTAACAAAAGTCACAGAAAAGTAATAAATTATAAAAGTAACCAAGTACTGAAAACCCGTCCTCAAGTCAATTCTGACACTACTTCTTAAGAGTTTCTGAGACAGCAAATCTACTAGAAGAGATAGTCTCATCTTTCGCCCAGGGAGTGCCTGTGAGCTGGAATTGCTTACCTTGTGGTTGCAGGGCAACACTTTATCAAACTTAAGTTAGTTAATAAATATATTATTACTCCTGTATTTAATATCCAAAAGAAAATGAGGTACAAGTTGTTTATTTGATCCTCTGAAACACTCAGGTAAGACATCCTAAAAAGCAGTCCCCAAGAACTGATGAGACTATTTAGGATGACTATTAGTTAACAATACCGTAATTCTCCAACCACACTCAAATCAACATATACTTACTAATACACCCTTGATCCAGCCAAATTTCACAACTCCTTTACTTTCTGCTGCATATGTGACTACAGCATCTCTAGTTGGAGTACTTTCTTCTCCATTGGCAAAACCATCCTCAAAAGGTTCCTAGTTGTAAAAGGAATTGAAAATTATGGGTAAGAATGATTTAAAATAAATGTGCCTGATTAAACAAATATAACAAAACGATAAAACAAACATACACTTAGCCATATTTAGGACAACACCGCACAGGTAGATAAACAAGAATAGAGTATTTTTGCCTGAACATATTATAAAGCATCAAAGTAGAAGAAAGCTTTTATTATTGAGATTTTTAAAATTATAATCTCACCATGACAATAAACCTGTTTGAATAGTTTCAAATGTTAATTAAAATGTGGCAGGGGACACAATGAAAACGGTTTCCTCTTTGAGACTAGACTCTTCTGATATGCTACCTACTTTCCACCTACAACTTCACCTACCTAGCTGTCACCCTCCCCTCATCTGAAATGCCAATGTTCACCAATTTAATACTTCTCTTCTTCACTAATGAAGTTTCTGCTCTGCAGTCCATGACAGCAGATTCCCAGGGATCCCATCGTTCATTCCTAAGTCCTCTCTCTACTTGTCCCTTATCTGTACCCACTTAGTCACCGGTGAAACTGCCATTGAGTTAATTCTGAGTGATAAAATTTCTGAGATGTGGCTGGTTGGTTTGAACTGCCAACCTTTCAGTTACCAGAACAATCAATGCCTAATCTGTGTTTCCAGGGCTCCTGAGTCACCACTGCTCATAGTTCTTTCTTTCCTACACAGGTTCTCACAGGATGCCACTTAGCCCTAGGATTTGTGTTGGGCAGGGCTGAAAGAAAGCAAGCAGTTTGTTTGTGAATCCTGGATCAATTCAGTGCAACCACCAACTCTCTGAATATAACGACATTATAAATAATGTCTGGTTCAGCAAGAACTGGAATTTAAAAACAAAACTAAGAAGCAAAATACTAGTTGTGAAAATGCAGACCACTTTACACAGCAATAATTCTTTCCTCAAATACAAAAAACATCAAGTAAATAATCATTATCTAATCCTGTAAATCGTCCCTAGATGATACAAATGGTTTGTACTTGACTATTAACCAAAAAGTTGGCGGTTCAAACCCACCCAGCAGCACAGTAGAAGAAAGGCCCAGCAATGTATCTCTACACCCATTACAGCCAAGAAAACCTTATGTCTGAAGTTGAACTTTGTAACAAATGGGCCATATGGACATAAATCAGAATGAACTAAAAAAAAAAAAGTGAAAGGTTGGTGGTTTGAATGTGGTCCAACTACTCAATGCTTACATTAATAAATATAACTATAACCTCAACTGTGAAATATACAGAAACTGATATTCTAGAATCACCTAGAGCTTTCCTGCTAACCACTCTAGATTGATGGTGTTGGAAGCTGTCACAGAAAGTTTCAATTCAGTGGCTCGATGTGGCACAGAACTTCCATCGGGTTTTCCCGCCTGCATCTTTATGAACGCAGATTGCCAGGCTTTTCTCCCATGGAGCCACTCTCCCAATCCACCCAAACTCCGTGCATGAAGTCAATCCCGACTCACAGGGACTCTACAGGACCCTCATCAAGTCAATGCTGACCGCTGGAGACCCTCTAGGACGGGAGAGAACTACTGTCCCTGTCAGTTTCTAAGACTGTTAACTCTGTATGGGAGTGGAAAGCCTCGTCTTTCTCCCACTGAGCAGCGGGTGGTTTTGAACTGCTGACCTTGTGTGACCATTAAGCAATCAGAGCTCATCATGGAGTCACTAGATGGTTTAAATGGCCTACCTTTTGACTAACAGCTGACTGTTTAATCATGTATGACATCAGAGATACTTCTGCTACCAATACATACAATTAAAAAGAAAAACAAATCCTAAGAGAGAGCTAAGAAGAAGCAGCCCCTCAAGAAGCTGGACTGACAGCGGCCACAACCATGGGCTCAAACATAAGAACACTGTGAGAAGGGTCCAGGACAAGGTGGTGTTGCATTTTGTAGTTCACAGGGATGGTACGAGCTGGAACCACCTAGATAGCACCTAAAAACAACAGTGGCTACAAACATGGAGTATGACTACGAATAGCATGGAGTTTCTTTGTGGGACAATGAAAATGTTCTAAAATTGTACCAATTTGAGAATATTCTTTAAAAAATTCCTGAGTTGTACACTTCAGATGAGTGAATTCCTGGCACTTGTACTAGCAGGAGAAAGACAGGGCTTTCTACTCCTGTACAGGGTTAGTCTCAGAAACCCACAGGGGCAGTTCTATCCTGTCCTAGAGGGCTTCGATGAGTCGGCATCAAGTCAATGACAGTGAGTTTACTTCACCAAGCACGATGTCCTTTTCCAGGGCCTGGTACTCCTGGTATTATATCTAAGGAATGTTATCACCCAGCCACTGGTAACTACCAATTGTCTCTGTGGATTTGTCTACTCTGGGCATTCATATAAATTGAAACATAGTACGTGTCCTTATTTATGTGTGCAGCTTCTTTCAGTACACAGAATGCACAGTTTCGTCTTTTTTACAGCGTGTGTCAGCACTTAATTCACTTTTATGCTGGATAGTATTTCATTGCACAGGTATACTATGTTTATCCTTCATCAGCTGATGAACATGAGTTGTTTCTCCATATGACTATTATGAACCAATCTAAGTTTTTTTATGTTTCTGTAAGATTTCCCTTTTCGCTCGAGTACGTGAGGATGAATGTGCTGGCCATGTTACCCTTTATGAAGTGAAGAGATTGCTGTTGGTACTTCTTCTCCTCTCTTCCTACGTAGCAAGCTATACCTGTCACTCATTCTAATAGATCTGCCTGACTTTTGTTCTCCCTGTATGGATGCCAATAACCATTAAAAATAATAATCTGACCAAGGACTGTGCTGCTCAATCACCAGAGCAGCTCACTCCCAGCTTGACTTCCACTATTGGATGTGTTCCAGATAGTGGAGACGCCAGGACAATACCATAGAATATAAAAATCACTCCAAATTGGGATTGGTGACTCAACTGTTCAATTCATCAGATTAAGTCAAAATATAGTTGATTGTTAATTTAATAAACATTGACAGAACTCTTTAGTTTTCACTTTAGGATATTTAATGTTCTTTGGTTAAATTCATTAGTGGCTCTAAAATACTATATGACCTGAAAAAACACAATATATTTCCATACTATGCAATACAGAGACAATTTTCATGTATATTAAAAGAAAGCTAAAGAGGATGTTACTTTGAGAATTAAAGAGTATCTGACCCAAGCCATCATATCTTAAATCATTTCATATGCATGTGGAAACTATACAGTGAATAAGGAAGTCTAGAGAAGAATTTACCGTATATACTTGTGTATAAGCTGAGTTTTCAGCACATTTTTTATGCAGTGGTTGTGGTAAAATTAGCCTCGGCTGATATTTGGGTCAGCTTATACTTGAGTATATATGGTATGTATTTGAATTATGATGCTGGGGAAAATATTTAAATACAGCGGACTTCCAAAAGAACAAGAAAATCAAATTTGCATAAGCAAATGTGGCGAAGAAAGCTGATGGTACCCAGCTATCAAAAGATATAGCGTCTGGGGTTTTAAAGGCTTGAAGGTAAACAAGCGGCCATCTAGCTCAGAAGCAACAAAGTCCACATGGAAGAAGCACACCAACCTGTGCGATCACGAGGTGTGGAAGGGATCAGGTATAAGGCATCATCAGAACAAAAAAATCTTATAATAGTGAATGAGGGGGGGAGTGAGGAGTAGAGACCCAAAGCCCATTTGTAGGCCACTGCACATCCCCTTACAGAAGAGTCTTGGGGAGGAGACGTGCCAGTCAGGGTGCAATGTAGCAACGATGAAAAATACAACTTTCCTCTTGTTCGTAAATGCTTCCTCCACGCTCCCCACCCCTCCCCCTATCATGATCCCAATTCTACCTTGCAAGTCTGGCTAGACCAGAGGTTGTACACTAGTACAGACAGGAACTGGAAACACAGGGAATCCAGGGCGAATGGTCCCTTCAGGACCAGTGGTGTGAGTGGTGACACTGGGAGGTAGCGGGAGGGTGGGTTGGAAAAGGGGAACTGATTACAAAGATCTACATATAACTTCCTCCCTGGGGGATGGACAACAGAAAAGTGGGTGAAAGGAGAGGTCGGACAGGGCAAGATTTGACAAAATAATAATTTATAAATTATCAAGGGTTCATGAGGGAGGTGGGAGCAGGGAGGGAGGAAAAAATGAGGACCTGATGCCAGGGGCTAAAGTGGAGAGCAAATGTTTTGAGAATGATGAGGGCAATGAATGTACAAATGTGCTTTACACAATTGATGTATGTATGGATGGTGAGAAGAGTTGTATGAGCCCCTAAGAAAACGATTTAAAAAAAAAAAAAAGAACAAGAAAACCTATCATGGAAAAGGCACAATCTGAATGTTCCTTGGAAACAAGATGGCAAGACTTCATCTCACATACTTCAGACATCCAATCTTTAAAGAGGGTCCAGGCCCTGGAGGAGCACATCACGGTCAGAACAACTGAAAACGAGGAGATCCTCCAGGAGAGGGATTGTACAGTATCCGTAACATTGGGTCACACACAGTAACAGTTTTAAGAATGATCTGGCAAAGACTGGGCAGTGTTTTGTTCTATTGTACATAAGGCCAGGGCTTATGGTTTGTGTGAGGACCAACTGGATGGCAACTAACAACACAGAAGTGTATTCCCATTAGGCTATTGTTACCAAGCCTAAAAACGTGGGTGTCTTTTTAGCAATGCAAAAGTATGCAGGCATTCTAAAATGTTTGCTGTGGGTGTTTTATCAGAATTCTACCATACAACTATGTTCACAAAACAAAGTAAGCTTTTTCCTTATGTGTGTGTGTTAGCGCTTTACAATAAAAATGAGTTCACATAAAATGAAAACTTGAACTCACTATCTTCTGATTATTAATCTCTACAATTCAAAAATTAAACAAAGTAAGTACATGTTACTGGAATGACTTGTATCTCAGCAATAGATTTCGGTAATAATGAGATGAAATTTACACCTACAGTATTAATTTTTCCAAATTTTCAA